CCGACAGCCGGGTGGCGCCAGCTCTCGCAGAGTGGCGCGCCGGCTTTGCACTGAGGCCTGGTCCGAAGCGGGGCCGAAACGGGGCGCTGGGCGGCCCCAAGTGGGCCGCGTGTTTTTTGTTTGTTTTGTTTCTCTCTTTTGTTTGTTTGGTTTTTTCCCCGTTTTGCGGTAGCCTTGGGCTCGGTTGCCCAAAGGACCTGGAAATGAAAGGCTAACCTGTTGGGGCCATGACTAAAAGGTCTTTGGACAAGTCAGAGGGGCATGTTTTTGGAGGATTCCCGCTTAGCCGCGCTTTGCAAATGTATAGGGACACCCTATGAAACAGCCAGGGCATGGCAACTTGGCGAGTAAAGCATTGATGCCGCAAGCGTATCCCAATAGGTGTGCAGTTTTCGCCCAAGTCATGAGCAGAAGCACACAACACACTCCACCAGCAATTTTACAGACATCATCTTAAACATGGCGCCCCAACCGGCCAGCGATCATGTCAAAAAAGAGGAAAGAAAGAAAGAAAGAAAGAAAGAAAGAAAGAAAGAAAGACAGAAAGACAGAAAGACAGAAAGACAGAAAGACAGAAAGACAGAAAGACAGACAGAAAGACAGAAAGACAGAAAGACAGAAAGACAGAAAGACAGAAAGACAGAAAGACAGAAAGACAGAAAGACAGAAAGAAAGAAAGAAAGAAAGAAAGACAGAAAGAAAGAAAGACAGAGAGAAAGAAAGGAAGGAAAGAAAGAAACAAAGAAAGAAAGAATCAAAGAAAGAAATCAAGAACCCATTCAAACTCCCCAACCCCAACCTCATTTAGACAAGTCGAAACAAGCCCTCCCCCGCAACAAACAAACAAACAAGCAAGGCGTAAACACACACACACCAAAAATAACAAAACGCGGAGGAATCCGTGTATAAAACCCCTGCCGCACCCCCGCTACCGCCCCCCCCCCGTCCCCATCATCGTCGCCTTGAGGCCTTCGCTCTTCATGCGATCCTCCTCGATGAGCCTCTGCACCATCTCCCGGCTGTTCTTCCTCTGCATGGCCTGACCCGTTCGATGGCTGGGATGGGCTTCGTCGCTGCTTCGCGGCTCAAAATTCGGGCGGCTCGGCTTTTTCAAGGCTGGCCCCCCCCAAAAAAATGGGTGGCTTTCCTTTTTGGTTTACCCGTAAAGCCACCAAAAAGGGGTATACCGTCAAAAACGACACATCCAAATGGAGTGTCGGCAAAAAAAAATAAATCCATAACCCACAAACACCCCGTTCTTAGAGAAAGGACTCAGACTTGCTTTGAACAGCCAAGCAAAGTCCTTTCGGATGCATGAAGAACACATTGGTCCCTTTAGTGTGTGAAGTCTTGGCCCCAAGTTGTGTTTTGACTCGGGTTCTCTCGGAGCTACACTACTATAAGAAAGCCCGATTTCCCGACTAAAAACCTACCCATTTCCTTGGAAAAGGCTTCTTCGATCTGCAATCCAGCAAAAGAGGGCAATGTCGCGGCCCGCGGTTGCGAAGCACCGTTTAAACACTTTCCCTTAAGATTATTTGATTCATTTGAACCATTTTCGTTTGTGTTTGGGCCCGGTTCCCTGTTTAAACAAGCAATTAGCCCGGGTCATATTTAGGATGGCCACTTCAATGGATACTGTAAAGGAGGTGTTTGCGGGATCCAGCTCAGCCTGCATACGTGGTGTCTCAATGCTGGTTCACTTTTGGAGTTGTCATTGATTCAATGAAGGGCACTCTCTGACTTAAAGAACACTACACCGAAACACGCTTGAGCTCCCCCATACACCCAGTTTCTGGCACAAACAGGGAAGCATACTTCATTGGTTGACTATTTTCAGCAGGGAACCCACCAACCACTCAATTTAGCAACCACGCCCTGGAAGCGACCTAAACTGGATCTTTGAACCCTTTATAAGAGCATGTCCATCTCCAGTGTTCCTGCATTCAGGTCCTCCAAAAATCAGTTACTCGGGTGATGTTCGGTATCTTTGCAGGGCTCTGATCCCTTTCCCGGCCTTCTGCTCTTTCTTCTCCTCGATCAGTTGCTTGTTCTCTTCGAGGAGCCTTCTGGGGGACCTCCAGCCGGCCCCGAGTACAAAATATCATTCCCTCAGGATGGGCTAGCAACAAGTCCGAAACTGTTCAGTGCGCTGTTTGGTGCACTCAAATGGCCTTCACGAAGGGTATAAAAGCTAGGGTGCTGAATAACAGTGGATGCTTGTAATGTTGTTAGGGGATTGGAGGAACCCTTCTGTGCACCACAATTTGTCAGAAATTCGTGGTCATCTAGAGCATCCAGGGTACCCTCTTTCCAGAAATCATGGAAGCGAACTGGGGGCTTTGCCCACAAGGAAAGTAGCCTTACAACACCCTTCTGTCGGCTTCCATTATTGGTGGGAGGGTACCACACATGACAGCTTGTGACACTAGCAAATATCAAACCATAAAAAGCAAACAATAGCGCATAACGGGTTTAGTACATGGAATAGCTATGTAAACAGCAACAGGTTAGAGGAATCATCGGCGACAACAAAACATGCGCACAGCTGACAGGAAGTCAATAACAGTTAAGATAAATAATGCAAGCCGCTAAATTAAGGTTCATGCCACCTCATTCCAGCTCATGATAGCAATTACAAGGGATAAAAGGGCTCTAAAACATAAGCTCCACCCCACCCCACCCCCCCGTCCCCCCCGCCCCCAAGCAAAAAAACAAACAAACACACAAAACAACACAACATACACCCTACAACCACTCGCCCTCGACTCTAAACCCATCTGGACAACATATAACTCATATAACTCACAAACATGAAATAAGGACTCCCCTTTACCCCTTCCTTGGCTCGCTATATTTTGCCCACCCTTCAAGCCATTGAACCGTGAAAATCGTCTACCACTAAAATGGTCTGCCCAAACAATATGAATCCAAGAGAACCCGAAGCAGAATTCGGAACATTGTTGTTTACATCACAAATGCTAACATGTAACATGCTGTACAGCAAGTGCTACCATGTACCACACCAGTAAGAGTTTGCTGGTGACGCTCCAAGCCTCAGTTGCTAAGGGGGTGGGGTACAAAGGGGGATAGTTCCAAAAGGCTCTAGAAATGCAAAGTTCCAAAACTCTCCTAGAGCCAAACCATGTTGGCGGGTGCTTTCACGACTCTCAAAGGCAGTCTTGAAGAGGTCAATACTGTGAATGGGCGAAATCTTGCACCACTTCGAAACCATTGTTGAAACCAAAACATTGATTGGTATTTGCAGAGGAATCCGTTTTTTTCAGGGGTTCTGGACTTCGTCCATCCACAGCACAGGTCACATTGATCCATTCAGGATCCAAAACTCTTCCAAGCATGAAGGATCATTGTCTAAGAATCACACGCGTCACAAGGATGTGGATCCTAAGCAGCTGGTCAAAGTCATTCCTTTTTAGCTGGCCCAAATAGTTGTGGGACATAACCCTTTCTGGGACACTAAGCGGGACCATCCTTGCGACTTCATCACTTTCAAGGGGTTGGTATCACAGAAAGTGGCCCTAAAACCCAAAAAGGCGCAACCGTTATACTAGTTCTGTCTTTGAAGCTGTTCCACGAACCCTTCCGCCCCCGCTGAGCAAAGGGTCACAGGACCTTTGGTCCAAATTGCTACCCCTTGGGGCGGCTTGCCAAGAACCCCTCCGTGTGAGCAAAAAGGTCACAGGACCTTTTCTAGGTTTGGTGGAACCACCAAATTTGTTTCCACGTCTACTTGGCCATTCGGCGTGGGGGTTTGACGTGGGGCCCTTCCCCCCCAAAAAAGAGGAAAACAGGGCCCTACTGGGCAACTGGGAAGTGTCTTTCCACGTCTGACGACCCCATCTCTCGGGTCGGGGGGCATGGGCCCTCCACCGCGGCCGCCTTTGGCAGGCCTTGAGAACGGCTCACGCAGCTCTTGGGGTGGCTTGGAGGTGGTGAAACTGGGGGTGGGGGAGTGGGGGTTGTTTTGGAGGTGGTGAAGCTGGGGGGTGGGGGGGTTGGTTTTGGAGGTGGTGAAAATGGGGCTGGGGTCTCCCCCAGCTGGTTTTAAAGGGGGGTGGGAGGAGGCGGTGAAACTGGGGGGGGGGGGTTCTCACTTGCTCCCTACAAGATCCAGGGGTTCAAACCCCAATTCAAACCAACAAGGGTTTGTTGATTCACAGCTTCTGTGGCCTGGTTCTTCTCAGGCAAGCCAAGCTACTCTAAGAGTGGGGAAATCTTGGCAGTTCAATACCTGGTGTGTCAAATGTTCCTCCACAAGCCTGTGCAAGAAACTCCAGGCTGAGTTGGTACGGAATTCCTGCAGGTAGTGGGAATAACGCAGCAAAAACGGTGGAATTGTGCCACCTACTTCCACCCAGTTGTTCAGCTTGGCTTCGCCGAAAATCCAAGTAAACGCCAACCCCGCCCCCCCCACGCCCACCCACCCACTGACAGAAAAGCGCAGAAACGGATCTTAGAATCTTTGTGTGTGGAGGGTAAGGGGTGTCTCTCGATTGGGAATGCTCCTGGATTTCAAGCAATCCAGGCACAACTGCGGCAAGCAATCCAGGCAAAATCTGCGGCAAGCGATCCAGGCACAATCTGCATCAGCAACCCAGCCAAAACCCGTGGCAAGAAAATCCAGGAAAGTCTTGCGGCGAGCAATCCAGCAAAATCTGAGGCAAGTAATCCAGGCAGAACCTGCGGCAAGCAATCCAGGCAAAATCTAAGGCAAGCAATCCAGGCTAAATCTGCGGCAAACTTAGCGGCAAGCAGCAAGCTAGGCAAAACCTGCGGAACACAATTGAAGCAACATCTACAGCAAGCAATCCAGGCAACACCTGCGGCCAGCAATCCTGAGGCAACCAAAGGCAAAATCCGTGGCGAGCAATCCACAATCCAGGCAAAATCTGCGGCAAGCAGGCAAAATCTAGGCAAATCCCCTAACCCCACTGGTGGTCTGGATAGACATAAAATCGTCCATCCCCAGACCTTGCCCAAATGGCCCACACACGGGAAAGGTCCTGAGCCCTCCCCAGCTCTCAGCTGGGCCTGGGCAAGAGCCTGGCTTCCATCTCGTTGATCGACATGCAGGACTCCTGGACGCGGCGCGCGCGCGAATACCATTTACACTTTTGAGATGTGCCACAGGGGTCCTTAGGTCCTTAGGACCAGCTTCCCCAGTCTTTTCAGGAATCTTCTGAATCCATGGATCTTCCATGATCTTCCCCATCCTTTTGAAAGATTCACACCCTAGATGAATCACTCCCTCCCAATCAAAATACCCTCCTCCCGACCAAATCTTCGGGCTTCAATCCCTGCATCTCGAGTCCAACTTGTGTTGGGTTTCTTTTGTTGGTGTGTCTTATTTACGGCCGCCAAGGTGATCACCCGCTAAATTTTCAAGGTGTTCTTGGTAGGCAAGATGTTCACTCAGTTCTTGTCCTGGCTGATGTCGCAGGATTGGCTTGACACGTCTTAACCCTCTTGTCGCAAGAAGGGAGGCCCTATCAATTCCCTGATAGTTTTATCTGACCAGTTATTAGCAGGAAAGGGTGAAGGGTTGAAAGAGAATAGGTTTTGAGGGTGAAAACAAACATAGATTCCTCATTACTAGCCCCAAAATGCTGACAAGCCCCATCCCAGAGAAACGAGTCTGATCTTTAAGGCAGTTTGCCCTGCCTGGTTTCCTTTTAAAGCACGTGGGAGAAATCCCCGAGTAGACCTTGGCACCCTGTGAAAAAGTATGAACACCACGTTTTCGTGAAAATGTGATACCCAAAGAATCGCGCGCCCAATTACAGACAATGCAAGTGCCAATTTGATTTGCTCCATCCTATATTTGAGCAAACGCAAACAAAAAACGTATCCCGGATTCAGCCACTAGGAGGAGGTAGCCACCTACATTCTCTTCGCTGGAATGGTCGTTGCCGCTGGTCACGTATTTGCAGGGATTCAACCCTAATTTCAAGCTTCGACCCCCAGGGTGAACAGGGACCAGGTTGCTTCAGTCCGGCCTGGGTCGCATTGAGGCTCCCATTGCTCGGATCAGGACGCGAAGTTCGCGGCGTCCTCCGCGAGAAGCGTGGGCTTCAATTCCCGGCTTTTGTTTGAACGTGTTAAAAGCACTTTCTGAGTGGATGGGCCATTAAGTCAGAATTTATTGCTTACCACTAAAACGGTCCTCCCCAGAAGGGTAAAGGCCAGCAACTCGGGAAGTGAGTAAAAGCACTGTTGCCATAGCAAGCAGTCCCAAAAACTCCTGTTTGAAAGGGAGCCAAGAGACAGTTGTTAGAGTTGGAATGAAGGGCTTCACACCACTTGTGTGTTACATCCTCACCCTTCCAGTGTAGGACAGAAGTGGGCAACTCGACTCATTTCGGTCGGTTTCATGCTAGTTGTCCTTTAAGTACCTGCACAAGAGATCCCTATCTTGGAAAACACCCGCGCTGAAGTAATCATGTGGGTTTGGCGCTTCTGATAGGGGACACTAAACAATGATATGTGCGTAGTTTGATTTCACTTTTTGAACACGGCTCGGCAACCTGCCAAAAAAGCTGGAAATAACTCTAAACGTCACAGCCATCAGAATTGGTACTGTACCGCGTTCCGGCTTCGCACGCCCCAATTTTTGTTACTTCGAACGTGCGCGACTGTCAAACCGGCAGGGCGCCAATTTCCAGTAGCTCACCTATGGCCTTTCGAAGGACAAAGTTCAAGCGTCCTCATAAGTAATGGGTTTCGCCCTTTTTTTTTCCGAAGGACCCTTGACTTTGCTCATGGGGCACAGGACTGTAGCAATGGATTTGTTGCTACACTTTCAGACTTTAGGGCAACAAAAGGAATAAGCTTAACCTGAGTAATTGATGATACACCTGATTCATAGGGACCCAAGAAATTAAGACGTGAGCACGGGCCAATTGCAACAACCTTTTTCTGAGGTTGCAAACCAATTTGACCAGAAGAGCTTCCAAGGAAAGTTATCATTTGCCCAAATTGGAGCTCCTTTTAGACTACTCTTTGATTGAAGAAATGCAGAGGGGCTCCTAAAGACTTTCCCCTTGGAGGTATGTCGAACTTGTCCCCACAAGTGGCACAAAATGAGCACGAACACACCACCAGGTATAAAAGGGGTCTGCTTGAAATCAAACATTTCATTTGCTTAAGGCTTAAGCCCCCTGGAAACATGAGACACGATTTCCAGGAGTAGATTCCCTTTACCAGCAGGGAAACATCGGACACATTCTCAGCTGTTCAGTGACCCTGGAGAAAAAAAGGGACCCTTTCTTGCGAAGACCATTTTAGTGGGGCAGCCACCAATAAAAAAGGGAAAAAGGGAGCCACCCAACAACTGAGCATTCCTTTCAAAATCAGGCAAATGGGAGAAATCGAATAACACCACGCCAAACCCACCAAATGAGTTCAGATGCCTCACCAGGCTTTCGCCGCTTGCACGCAGCGCAGAGGGTGGCCGCGACATGTCGATGGCTTGAACCCAAAGGCAGCCGGGAATCTAATGTTGATCACGTATGAATCAACCCCTGTTTATGGGGGGTGGTGTAGGGGCACAGGGGTTCAGAAATGTGGGGGTGTGGGGGTATGGGGTGGTGTTCCTGCGTTTGGGCATTCAGACCACTCGAGGGGAACACCTCATGAATAAACTGTGGTTGTTTAATCTGGGGTCGACATTATGGGCTTGGACTTAAGGTTGGACCCCCAAAATGCCGCAACGGTTCTTCCTTTTGGTTGAAACCCATCAAAAAGGGGTACTCGGGGTACCCTAAAAAGGACACACCCATATTGGGGATGGACGAAATCAATTTTGCACCAGCTGGTACAAGGTTTATCACCTAGTATTCATAGGCTTTCATGCATCCCAACTGGTGCAGGACGTTCTCCATCCACAGTATGTGCATGTACGTTTTTTCTTTGGAGTGGAAAACAACACAAATCAACGACCATACCCAACCCACAAAAAACACCTATCTGAGAATTGCCAAAAAATATGCTTAAATCACTCAACAAGTGTCCCCTGCCACAAATGTGAAGATTGTAAAGGATTCATGAGTTGAACACCCTGGTTTCATTTATCCCGGGCCTGCTTATTCAGCGGAGAGTATTACGAAAGGATACGAAATGGCAAACCCCCCAAACCACAGCCCTCAATGCCTCCCCCAAATGATAGCCGTGCAAAGCCATGCAAAAGGGGATAGCGCAAGCCATTTAAGAATGAAATCGACCATGGCCCCCGAGTGAGCCGTCAGCCGTACCAACTGTATGATTGAATGAGCTCTTCCGGGGCCCACGAAATGCGCTCCTTCCAGAGTTCGCTGAATAGCCCCCTGCCCACAAGCTCAACCTGTTCGCCTGCGTGAGAACAAACAACCCTGCCCAAAGAGTCGCACGATTCCAACCAAAGAGTCGAAAACTGGTGAAAGGTCCAACCACAATCACCTTTTGCACCCGCACAGTGAATCGGATGTTCCCATTTGTGTGCCAAATGCGGAACCCACCCTGCCAGGACTCGTTGTCAAAGAATGCTTTGCCCTTTTCATTCATTCAGCTCAAGAATGCTTTGCCCTTTTCATTTCTCTTGTTCCTTGTCACTTGCAACGCATGTTCTCCAATACTTGATTGCCAGCATTTGCTCTGTCAGCAGTATTTCTGTATAGCCCAAGAGCTCCAACCACGCATCAAAATTAATGGTAGAACAGAATCCACAATTGCATTTCACACAGCCCAACAACTGTGAACAGGGGAGAAATTAACAATCGAACAAACCAAGCCAAGCCGCATAAACTATGCATTAGCCCTCCCACCTCGGCAAACAATCTAAATACCAAAAACTCTTAACGAATCCCTGAATGACTACTTTAACCTTGCCAAAGCCTCTTTACACAATTCCTCACCCTTGATTTTATGCCAGCAACCGAATGTCAGTGCACGAGTAGCAAATCCCTCGATGAAAGGTTTCCCATTTGCCTAAAGGGCCACCAAGGTTTGCCCAAAACACCATACCCCGTCAGTCGTTGGGCCTCAATACCTCTGCAGCCCAAGCCAAAAAATATGTAAGAAAAGAGGCGTTGCTTTCTCTTAAATCCACCAATGCTAAGCCACTATTTAGCCTGAAGTTTTCCAACAAAAGCCAACACGCAGTGGTCTTTCTAAAGTTTGTTTAAAATGGGAAGGTTTTCAAGCTCACACTGGGGAACCCTGAAGGCCAGCCTCCCCCCCAAAAAAAACCTGGGATGACCATCATCCAGTTTCCATCTCACAGAAATCTTAAAACTCAAAAAAAAACATGCTTGAAACCAAGCAAATTCACAATCATGCGCCCAAGTACTCAAACACCGAAAAGAGATAGCAAATACTACTACTTATAAATCCTCTATTTAGATTTGTAACGTACGGATTCACACAAAAAATGTAGCATTCAAACAAACGTATACATATAGTCACAAGTCATTCTGTGCACCAACCATTATACACACAAATATATATATATATACACACACACTAGAACGCAACTCTCGCAATGCCACATTGCAACGACACATTGCGCTCGCCAAATAATTGTCAGGCTAGATCATATCCTATCAAATGAGCTAACATTCGCAATTTCGATTATCATGTTATATATATATACATACTTATTTATATACCGTACACCTATAAGCATACAAACGTATATGTTTATATGTATGTCAGATAGTTTTGCCTGGATCAGATTTGCCTGAAGCAGTTCGGCCCCCAGCCCCATGTCAGAGGCTGTTGGGCCAGGATTTGCAGCTCGCAGGCGCTCAGTTCATTGCACGCCTCCGGAATTCTGAGGCCGTGAAAACAGAACGAAGTGCGTTCTGGGACTCCAGGCTCCTTGGCTCCTTGGCTCCTTACCACTGGTGGTCCCTGACTTCTGGAGAAGGAACAGCTTATTTGCGCCGTGATCCCCAATCTGAGAACTGAGAACTTGCTTCCATTCCGAGAAGTCACACCTGTGGGTCAAAACCCTGTACCTGTGGTGAACATCAACATAGGTGGAAAATGGATGTTCATCCCCAACATGGAGCCATATGCCCCATGGCCACCTGGCAATCCTCAGAAAAGAAAGCAAGGGATGCCTTCTCACTTCTGGAGCTTCTTCACCTCAGCCTCCAAGTTCTCTACCTGCGCGCGGAGACATGCGGACACAGGCGGAGAGGCGGAGACCTGAGGCGGAGACCTGAGACGCTCCGCCAGGTCAGGGCCATCGAATAGTGGTTGGGGCGGATGGGTGGGTGGGGGGTGGGGGGTGATTGCAGACATGGTTTCTGCAGCAATTTAAAAGCAGCATGTCAGAGCCTTTGGGATTTCAGTGGTAAGTTTTAGTTGAAATTGTATAGTTGTTACATGGCTGTGTGGGTGGGTTTGACAACTTGGGATGTGAAGGGCTTGCCTCTCCACTGGGGCTTGGGTCGGCCCACATATCCGGGATGGCTGCTAACTATGTTCTTTCATGAATTTGGATGCTTTGGTGAAGGCGTTCGTAGCATATGTGAATGTCATCACCGACACAATTCCTCCATCGCAAGCTTTTGTGGACACTTCGTGGCTGAAGACAAGTCCCGAAGATGCAAAGTAAGCAGTTTGGTGTTGCAGAAAATGCTGCGCTGGCCACGCGGCCGTACACAATATTTTGAGATATTTTGAGACATGGATACCACTAGTTTGTGCTTTGTGGCCACGAATGCAAGCTTCTATTTTCATTGGCCCTGTCATGCCAAAAACAACTTGAAGACCCTGAAGACCATTGCGTTGATTCGTTTGCGCCCGAACTCCGGGCAAACCCCCCCCCGTCTGGCCTATATGTCGTTTTGCCTCTGAATGGCGGGTCAAAGGGAGCCCCCCCAACCAAAACGCAATCGGACCTTGAGGCCTCGAGGGACCTGGCAGTAGGCTTGTACATGGGGCGGTCCCTATTGCTACTTCGGAACCTGTAGTGGGTCCCCACCACAGGAGAAAAAAACAAAAAAAAACAAGCCACGAGCATCTAGCATAAGGGCTACGGACAGGTTTTGAACAACCCTCGCGTATGGTGGGGGGTGAAGCCTCGCCTACCGTGAAGATAAGAAGAAAATTAGAAACCTTGGTCATCACAGACGTTGTCGCTTGGTCTTCAAATCAAGCCTGATTCCAGCACCTTCACCAATCATCGTGAAGGCCAAAGACGCTTAATCCCAAAAATGAATCTGTATAAGAGAGGCCGCTTCTGCCCTCGAGACCGCCCTAAGAGGAAACAAGCACGCATAAACGCAATGACTGCCGCGAATGCTGACTGTTCAACGCCTCACTCATCGGCCAACGAATGTCGGTGCTTGTTGCTACAATGCGACAAGAGAACAATAGGGGACTACACTAAACCGATGCTTCGCCATCTGCAAACCTGATAAGGGCTTGCGAAATCGACACCTTGGCAACTGCGTCAATACACTCATCCCATGCAAGAAACAAAACACTAGAATAAGGCACTAGAATGAGGAACCGGGACAAATCGGACACATCTAGTGTCCAAAATGTGATGTGCTTTCGATGCTCACCTGCCCAAGCCATCGAAACCATCTACAAGAAATTCTGCAAGTCAGCCAAATACCCACCAAAGCCAGGTGTGTCCTTAGAATTTCCTGTAGCTGGTTTCTAGCAAGCAGCAATCTGAAATCCCCCCACCTCAAGGAGGGGTGGCTGGGGAGGAGTCCCCAATCCCATTTTTCGAGTCTTTCCCAAAAACAAAGCCATAAATGGAATTCCAGCCATCCTTGCCCCAATTCCATTTTAAAGGGGGGACGAAGGGAACCAATGGAAATCCAGAAGACATCCCCAACTCACTTGCGTGGATTGGCCAAAATTACCCACGCTTTTCAATTCAATTGAAATGGTCCAACCCCGAAAAGTGACACCCCCCCCCAGTAGCATTAAGGGGGTCCTCAGAATTTGGATCTCGACCGTCGCACCTTGGCGACCAGGGTCTTCAGCAAAGCCAACGTCTCGGACTCCGACCTCAAGTTGTTCGTTTTTTGTTAAACGAATTGGCAGTAACATCTTACCTAGAATTAGGGCCCCTTTGCAAACAATAAGATCTTTTTTTGCCCTGGCTCGTGGAAAACAAAGGGAACCCCAAAAAAGCAAAAAATAGAAAGGGAACTAATTCTGGGAAAGACATGAGACTCTGAGGGTTTTTGTATTACACCCTGGGATTACACCCTTGGGAAATGACCCAGAACGGTTCAAAACAACACGGTTTCATTGTGGGAGTATTCCCAGGTGCAATACAAACACCCTTAGAGACAAGGGGCATTTGGGGCACCAGCAAAACTAAGTGAAGCATGGGAAAGTGGTGTGAGTCACGTTTTTGTTTGTCCCCACCACCCTAAACTGAGTCAAATCAAGACCTGGTATCAAAATGGACAACCCAGAACCATTTATGGTTGGGATTATCCCCTAACCTTCATCTACCCGGGTTTTGAGGA